GGGGGGGGCTCGGGGGGTCTGCCCGTGCTCTGCAGGAACTGCAGGAAGTTCTCCTGGATGGAGCCCTCTCGGCTGGGCAGGCGCAGCCCCTCCTCGGGGGGCTGCTTCAGGAGGGTCGCCACGAGCCGGCCCAGCTCGGCGCGGATCTGCCGGTTGAGGCAGCCGTAGAAGAACGGGTTGGACGTGAAGCAGCAGAACCCCAGCCAGGTCACCACGGTCTCGGCCGCGCCGCCCCCCCGCGCCCCCCCCAGCGCCGCGTAGAGCTGGAAGGAGAAGAAGGGCAACCAGCAGAGCAGGAACTGGCCCCCCACGGCCAGCGGCACCGCGGCCGCCTTGCCCCCCGCGCCCGGCGTCCTGTGCGGGGTGCTGCGGGGGGCTCCCCCCGGGCACGGGGGGGTCACCATCGGCGAGCGGCTGCTGAGCGAGGCCGAGCGCCGGCGGGCCGGGGGGGGGGTCTCCAGCCAGGTGGGGAGGGGGCCGCGCTGGGCGGCGGCCACTCGGGCCACGCGGAACATGGCGCAGTAGGTGAGCACGATGACCAGCAGCGGCAGCGCGAAGTAGAAGGCGGCGAGGAACGCCGCGAACACCACGCAGGGCGCGCCGGGGCTCCACTGCAGCGAGCAGCCCGGCGCGGGGGGACGCTCGGGGGGCGACAGCCAGCCCAGCACCGGCACCACCGAGGTGGCCACGGCCTTGAGCCACACGGCCGCCAGCACCCCGGCCACCAGCGTGGGCGTCATGTGCGCCTCGTAGCGCAGCGGGTGCACCACCGAGTAGTAGCGCTCCAGGCTGAGCGTGGAGATGGAGAGGATGCACACGGAGCTCAGGCACACCAGCAGGAACAGGTAGACGCGGCAGAGCCCCGGCGAGCCCCCCAGCGCCGAGCCCACCAGCATCTCCAGCGGCATCAGCGTCAGCGCGGCCACCAGGTCCACGAGGCACAGGTGGAGCACGAAGACGAACTTGCGCAGGGCGGGGGTGCGGGCGATGACCCCCACCACGGCCGCGTTGCCCACCAGCGCCGTCAGGTCGAGCAGCACCATGAAGAGCAGCCCCACGGCCCGCGCCGCCCCCCCGCCGTCCTTGGCCTTGCCCTCGGCGCTGCCGTTGTTGGGGGGCCGGGCCCCCCCTCCTCGGGAGCCGTTCCAGCCCCACGGGGAGGGCAGGGAGGGCTCCATCCTGCGCTGGGCATCGCACGGGGGGCTCACATCGCTGGGGGGGGGGTGCTCAGAGCACCCAGAGGTGCCCCCCGGTCGTGCTCATCTGGGGGGTCCTCGCAGAGGGTGGGACCTGGGGGGAGGGGGAGCGGTCAGAGGAGGGGGGAGAGCCCGG